ACAGCAGAAAAATTTATGCGAAATAAATCATTGTGCAGATCAACTGGATCCATGGCATGATATTCACAATTTAATGAAATTTCACAAAAGTAGCCACGTGATTCAAAATCATAAAATTGTTTTTTTTTTTCAAAATACAATATGAATGGCTATGAATGAATAGATCTTAAATATTACCTTAACAGAAAAGACACGATTCTTTTATAGGGCATACATCAATTTTGATTGTTACTTGGATTGCTCGTTCGTCTTGATGATGTCGTCGTTCGCTATAGTGGTAGAGTACTCGTGTTGATAACGTGTTGTAATATAGATTGTCAATATGTAAAATCGAAGATAGATAGACAAAGAGAGAGAAAGCAGTAGAAGAGAATAAGAGTATGCCGTCAAAAACCCTCATCTTATTCATTCACTTGAGTCCTATATATAAGGGAATACAATGTACATGACTAAAGACCTAATGGGCTCCTGGCCCATACATACAAATCCTATATCTAGGTAATGTCCATAAATTAATATTTACAACAGAACTTAAATTAATATTTCATTATTGACAGTAAATTGTTTTGATGTTGTTCGACAAGTTTTATATCGTTTTTTGTTGTTATGACACCTACTATTTTATTTGTAGTTTTATGTAAACTACATAATTAGTTTTTAAGTTAAAAATACCAAACTTTTGTGTTACTTCTTTGTTATTTGATGTATATAATCTATTTATCAACAAATAATCAGACAAGATTACAATTAAATATTTGAAAGGAAAAAAATGGCCATTAAAACCAATGCTAATTTGAAAATTATAAATAGTTATATATGCAAATTATCAAGTTATTGAATTTCTAAATTGGAAATGATAAATAGTTATATATGCAAATTATCAAGTTATTCAATCTCCATAAATAATCTAGGTACAGTTATATTTTTTCCTTAAAATAAATAAATAAATCAGTATTTTAAACAAATAAATAAAATATAAAATGAACAATTATTATTTTTCGAGGACATTGAATAGTACCACCTATCCAATAATTCGTTAATAATATTATTGTTACATTTAGTTTTTTGTATTGCAAACACTAAATTATATATATATACATATATATAATGTGCACAATTCTCTTTTTATATAATTTTAGAATCAATTCTTTGTGAAAAGTAAATAATTAAAATTAAAAAACCGCGTTGTAATAAAATTAGATGTTTAGTTTGTTACTAGAAAGGGTGGTTAATGGACAGAGAAAGAGGATGAGAGCTTGGGGAAGTTAATTATTGTGGATTCCGTTAGCAGTTACATCATGGGTATAATATGAGATTAATTAGGGTAGTGTTGGAATTCTACTGCACCTGGCACTTCTTAAGAATTCAAGTTCAATAGGGGCTAGTTATGGATTTTCCCCTATAGAAAAATTAAGAAATCTATAATAATTTGCGAAATAGCTATATAATAATTAATATATGGTATCCCTTCGAAAAATAAAATATGCTGTAATCTATGAAAATCAATACAACAAATTAAATGCATGATCTAATTACCACCATACAAAAATATACCAAACAATCTTTTTATGTAGTTATGTTATACCGGGTATATTTCACCCCCCTCACACACAACTGCAGTGCAGTATTATCGATTTTTCTGATGACTTTTCACCATTGGATCAACATTTTATTCCAACCGTTGCATAAACATATATCAGACAACGATCCATCGTTAAGGAACCGATCCATCGAATATATTTTCTACGACCGGATCCATCGAATCTTTTGGCACTCGTGGACAAAACTTGACTGAAAGCAAAATATGAGGAACCAAAATGTGCTTAAAAAATAGTAGCACTAGTTATCCTACTCGACTACTTTAGTTCCATGGTTGAACTCGAACGATTAGTTTTAATAATTGGGTGCAATATCTTGATTAAGGTGTTATGTAGGGATGAGTTATGAAGGGCAATTTTTATGTATTTAATTTCAAATATACTTATAAAAGGGCACTTAACTAAAAAATATGTCTCTATATATCCTTTCACTTAGCAAAAACATCACCTTCACTCGTCGGTGTAGGGGGAATCAATTTTTGTAGTAAAAAGTGGTAATTTTTGTAAAAAGAAAAAAAAAAAAAAAATGTCTTGCAAATGGGAGTTGAAAAATCGCTACCAAGTCTCTTTCAAAAAATCTCCGTCTTTTTGTCTTTTTTATTGATTTTGTTTTTGTAAAAATCGCTTTCCAAAGCATAAGCAAATTTTAATAAGAGGTTACACTGTCGGATATACACATATAATTGAAGGAGTCACGGGGCAGCTATTTATAAAATAATGTCGATACATATTATGAACCAAGTCCGAAATTCAAACATTTAAATTTAATTGTGCCTTTGTGTCCTACCCGGCTCGATTCTGGATTAGTCGGTTTTCCTGTGGATCCAGAAACCGGAAGTTCCCTGTACTAAAAAAAAATATTAATTGTGCCCTACAAAAAGATTATGATTATTGCAATTTTTAATGACACTATAACATTTTGAAATTTTATTTTTTTATATAATATTTTAATTTTATTGTGCCACATTACAAAGTTGTTTTGGATCCACATAATTTAGAACAAATTAGTTAAATGTACTCGTCATATATTGTACATTAATAACTTCTTACTAAATTAATTTTTATTTAAGTAGTTGCAAAATTGAATTTCGCGTCTTTTATCATGAAAACTAGACGTCATTGAACATAATTAATTTAACTAGAAACACATCACGTTCCACTTAATTCCGGCATATTCATTCATACTTGATATACAAACATTACAAAACTTTGACCAGCAAACATAATTTAAATCAAACTACATTACATATAATAGAAAAAAAAAGGCACAAAAACATTCATATATTGTAACTTAATTAATATTTTCCCGCAAATTGATTGCAAAGTGCCAAGGCATTGCTGGTGACCTGGGCCACTTCGGTCATCCGGGCCCTGATTGAGCTCTTGATCTTGCCGTTCAGGGCCCGGCCCGCGAATCCATCCAAGCACGTGCTCTCGTCCGTCAGGGCAGCGCTAACCCACGTCTGGAGGTTGCTCATGTGCCACTCGTATTCGGGCCCACCGGCCCGGCCCAACCTCTTGAGCTCGCGGACCGAGTCACCCAGCCTGTCTGCGCTGTCCCCCACCTCCTCCAGGCAGTCCTTGAGGGCTGAATACTCTCTGGGCTTGAGGCCCCGGATCGTGGACAGCTTGCGGACAAACGCCTTAGTGGACTGGGCCCGGTCCACGCTCACGGATAGGGCCGTCATGACAAGCTGCTTTGGGCTTTTATGGATTGTGGAGGCGAAAGTGGAGAGGGACCGGACGCAGACCAAGGGGTACCTGGTGGCCCGGCAGGAACTTCTGATGAAGCTGGCGGCGGGGTTGGTGGCCGCCGCCGCCGCCGTGGCGGTGGCTGTGGCGGTGGCTAATTGGTTCCCATTTTGGAAGTATAAGAGAGAGAAAAGGAATAGTGGGAATGTGTGAGAAAATCTTGCCATATTTATCTGTTAGAGATGAGGAGTGAATGTGATAGTGGATAAGTACTACATTGTGCTGGCCAGTTATTTATAGTGGCAATTTCAATTTTTCTTTTTTTTTTTTATTTTTCTTCAATTTGATAAAAATAGGTGTCACGTGGATATTGGTCCACAAGCTGTGAACACGCCTTTATTGGGTGGTGATATGGTGTGGGAGTGGCCGGCTCATATTCGGTGGAACACGGACCACACACACCTCACAAGCTTTCACTATGATTAAATTATTTTATGTGTACCAACTTATTTTATACTTGTCCTTGGCTTTATTTATTGATGATGGTGTGCATTTTCTGTTAAAAAGAAATAAAAGCTAGGACGCATATTTATTTGAGGAGGAAATTCTAGTTGACGGTACTATCACCGTATTTGATAGTGATTAGATAGAGTTTGTAGTTGAATAGTAAAATTGTTAAAATGATTGGATTAACTGTTTAGTTTAATAATAAGTAGTTGAATCATAAATTCTATGGAGCTATCGGATGGCTCCTTTGTTGAGCCACCCGTAATTTTATGTACTGACAAATGTCCAATGTACATTTATTGCAGGACATGTATCAATACATCACTTGTGAATAATTATGGATGACTTCATAAGCCGAGTTATCCGATGACTCTATAGGAAAATCGTGAGTTGAAGAAGTTGAATATTACAGTTCTGTTTTTGTTTTTTTTTTTTTTTTT